CCCTGACTCACCATCAGTTTTTCATTCAAAACACAGTGTCTGAAGATGTTTCCAATTCTTTAAACTGAAGTTAATATTTTCCCTGCAAAGTACGCCCTTTCATAGAAGACAAATGTATAGTTAAAAACTTCTATCAAATAAACAACTTCAAAAGTTGCTTGAAGTTTGTCAAAAAGTTTGAATTCCTTCAAGTAAAAGGAAACAAGCATTATGAATAATTTACAATATCAAAGCAACCAAGAATTAGAACTCTGTCTTAATAAGAAGGTCTATATAGTTTGTCCAGAGGTCATCCTTAAAAAAACCCAATAAAACAAAAAAAAAACCCAAAAAACAAAGAAAACCCCACAACAACCAAAAAAATCAAACCCCAAACAAACCACACCACCATTCTCCCACCACCCCACCCCCCCCCGAAAATACAGCAGAGTCTATATCAGCAACAATTTGTGAGAACAGATTTTAAAGACTGAATGTGGCCTACGTGCGTGCTCTAGAAATTTAAGCAGATATCAGTAGAAATATGAAAAAAGTCCTACCCTGACACCATTCTATTTACCTTAGCTCTTCCGTCTCAAGGGCTGAATTTGACTTCTAGTTTTATAACCCTCCCTTTACTATTCTCACCAAACTGTGATCATGACTACAACTAAGCAATTCCATTTGCCTATGTTTAAACCAAATGAAGACAAGGAATCAAAAAGCCTCATGTACTTCAAAAAGACTGGGAGAAGCACAAAAGCAGAGTTTGAAATAAACAGTGAAAGGAATAAAACTACAGAGAAAGGAGACCTGCAACCCAGCCCTTTCCTTTAACTTTGTTCTCACTTTAATGCTTCATTTCATTCTCATAAAAAAAAAAAAAAAAAGGAAAAAAGACCACTACTAAGAAACACATTTCAGAATAAACACAGGATCAGAGACAACAATAAGGCCATAGAACAATGACACAGGAAAGACAACAGCAAGCAGAAAGGACTGAAAACGATGGGGATCACCCCAGAAGCAAAGATGAAAAGAACATAAATCCAGCTCTTAAAAGGCTAAATTACAGTCTATAAGTGATAGAGAATAAGCAAAACGGTACATATTTCCTCCCTGCTTTAAGCCACTGACACAGGAAAGCAAGCTGTCATTTTAAACAGTGTTAACCAGAATTTCAAATTAAGAAACTTGGCACCACTAAATAAGAAAATTCAGGTATTTCACATCCATGAAGATCTTTTTATCCCAGTAGCTGGCTACCCAAGACACCTGTACACTTTTTTGCTCTCACAGATATCAAGACTGAACTCTAGCCTACTTCCCCACCCTATTCCATATTTACAAACCCTTACTGCAGAAACACAGATCAGCTTAAAGAGGTAGCATCTAATAGCCAACCCAGAGTAGGATTCAGAAACACATTATAAAGTCAAAATTAAAACACTTCAGAAGGGACAAGTGAACAATCAGTATTAATGTAAAATATTTGATTGTAAAGAAGAACTGGAGTTTTTCAGAGCAGAAAAAGAAATTCAGAATTACCTTTTCACTACCTGCCAAGTCCACAAGGTAAAGTTTTCCACTTAGTTTCTGTTCTGTTTGAGTATTCTCTTGTTTCACATTAATAAGAAAAATACTATGACTTCGGGAGCTGTGTTCATTCATATCTATAATGCGAAATGTATAAGTTGTCAAAAATATCTGTACAACCAAACTAACTTAACAAAACAGTATCTTCCCACAGCGAAGCAACAAATCTAAAGCTAATGAAACTGTATAGAGTAATCTCTCAATGACAAAACTAGAGGCAGCAAAACCAATAGTATCATCTAATTGAGTAACAAAGAGCCTCCCTTGGGCTTCTATTATACCACATAAGCTTGCTGATAAGATTTGCTAGTCAACTATGGATTTCACACATTTAATTTACTTTATTAGAACAGAAAGCACATTTACATTCTGACACCAGAACATATTCTTTTTTTTTTTTTTTTTTTTTAGATTTACAATGTATCACATTTTATCCTTTTGTGAAAACTTGAACTAGATGGTCATAATCTTTGACCCCTTTCTGGTTTAAATACCTACTGCTCCCTCTGCTGTGAAACATGCAGAGTAAACAAGACTTACTGAATTTAAAGAATGATTTTAATTCATTAATAAAATCTAAGCTGACTGCAATCTGAAGGAGAACATCTACCTGAAAGAAGGTTGTAGTGAGGGGGGTGTTGGTCTCTTCTCCCAAGTAGTTAGCGATAGGACAAGAGGAAATGGGCTCAAGCTGTGCCAGGGGAGGTTTAGATTGGATATTAGGAAAAATTTCTTCACGGAAAGGGTAGTCAAGCATTGGAACAGGCTGTCCAGAGAGGTGATGGAGTCACCATCCCTGGAAGCATTCAAAAAATGGGTAGACGTGGCACTTCGGGACATGGTTTAGCCTACCCTTGATTAGTTTAGTGTGGACTTGGTAATGTTAGGTTAATGGTTGGACTGGATGATCTTAAAGGTCTTCTCCAACCTAAACGATTCTAGGATTCAATGATCTACCTACTACTTCTTCCTTTTAACCAAAAATCCTCACAGGCCTAAAAGGACCAGCTTATTGATGCCACAGAAGCAGCTCAACATAGAATAATATCCTTCTATCCAAATTTCTGTTATTTCTCTGTTACTTAGTCAGGTCCGCACTTCAGAACCTTACTACCTAGGAACAATGAAGTGGAAGTGCAGGACTGAGTCATTCCTTAAAAGGAATGTCATATTTTTATTTTTGATCCTTAACCAAAGAAATTAGAAGAAAAATATTTTATTTTATTAATTACTGTATATTCTTTCTTTTCCTGAATAAAGAACTAGACACAGGAAGATTGTGAAACCCACCCTCAAACTGGCTGTCAAAGATTTCTGATAGTCACTTCAGTTGCTAAGAACTGAAGTATTATTTTGCATGCACCTCATCTTTCCTTGTTTTGGGGGGTTTTTTGTTTGTTTTGGGGGGGTTGGTGGTTGTGGTTTTTTAAACCCTCTATCATTTCCTAATCCTGCTTCTTGTGCGAATTCAGAGACCTATGACATGGCTCCTTGCAACTCAGTTGCATGCCACAGGTCAAAGAGCTTGGGACATTGGGATGCTGCTTAAATCTGCAGCATGTCTGAATATATAATCTGACCAGCTTTTCTTAGAATACGCAATAGAATGGCCAAACTGTAGACAAGCCACAGTGCCTTACTCACAGATTCATAGGTTAATTGAAATAAATGTCACAAACTAGGATTGTGCACAATTACTAACGCAGAACTACACCTTTTTCTCCAATGATTCAGGGCTCCTCACTGATCACTTACTCTCTCCTTTCAATCCAAGTCTAAGTAACAACATCTAACAAGAAATTATTTTCAATACTTGTTTCTGAAAGAGATGCTGAAACTGCTTATGCTAGACCTTTTCAAAAGTTTGAATTATTTAGCTCACTTTTTGACTTCCTTACTTCTTAAGGCATACCAGAAGCAAATTGATAAAGCACTAAAAGGAGACAAAAGATAATACTTACTTGTAACTGCTACATGTCGGTTTGATTTTCCTTCATCTATAGTATCCATAACTTCTTCTGGACTACATACAAAACGCTCTGTGCAACCCTTTAAAAAAAAAAAAAAAAAAGGGAAAAAACCACCACATCAACAAACCAGAAGTAAATGACCTACACTAGAAGAGTGAAAGATGAAAAGATATCAGATTGATGCTCACCTTTACATAGGGAACTCTATTTTTGTCCTCATGAACAGAGAGATTGGTCTTTGAAACTGGAAGAGAAAAAGTTCTAAAGCTAAGAGATATATGATTTCTTTGCAAAATGAATGAGCTGTGTACAACACATGTCCAAGTCACAGATGTTATTTCTCAGGAACACTTTATATATAAAAAACTTAATATACATGAAACAACCACTACTGCACCTTTAGTAGTATTATATAGATTAGCTCCATGCTTTCTTATTTTGATGTACCCTTATCATTTACAGGTTATTAGCATAGTGCATACCTATCTTAGTATCATGAGGAGGTTTTGGGTTTGGTTTTTTTTTTTTTTTATCTCTCTCCAGAACAATTTATTTTCAATGTTCCATATAAATAAAATGCTTACCGTCCAAAAGGTCCCTTATTTTATCCAAGTATATTTCAAAATATGACACCTAGAAGTGGGAAGGGGAATAAAGATACAGCATCAGAAAGCAAAAATGCTTTGCTTTGTGATCAGAAGGATCCAGCATGATTATTATGACCTCCCACATAATACCACATCTAGCTCAAGTCCTTAAGGCTGAGCTAAAATACACCTTTAAGAAGAAACTATTTTGATCAAAAGCTTCAAGCACTATCAGCACTGCCATAGATTATCAGAGTAGCTACCATCAATGTTTAATGGAAACAAGATTAAAGTGTTAACATAATTCTTCTTAAGAGTCAGTTACTTCAGAAATAACTCACGTTTAGATTTTCCAAGTTACGGGCATTTGAAACAGATAAAGAACATCCATTAAGCATAGACTACTTCCAGTTTTAAAATAGATTAAATAAGTAACAATGAAGAAAGTTTACCTTAATATGAAACTCAAGATTCTCATCCATAGAGTAAATATAATTAAAAATATCTTGCACTATTCTTGGAATAATACCCATTCCATCCGGGTCATGAAGCTTCCCCTTATTAGAAAAAGATACAATAAAACGAAACATACATACTGAATCCAACATCACAAACAGTATCCAGAAGCAAAACAAACAGTTAACAGACAAATTAGTTTTAAAATGCTGACAGGTATGATGCACTTATTTTATCTATAAAGGAAAGTCTTGACCAGCCATTTAGGCCCAGCATTTGGCAGGAGTGAAAGAACAATCTTAGAAGTCTCCCAAACTACTAAGAGCGAAAATGTACTATTAACATTATTCTTGTGTTTCTCATCCTACTACTGAGGGCTGTAAAAATACCGTAACTGTCATTCTCAGTACTAAGAAAACATTTTGGGTATCAAAACATTCCAGTGGAAAGAAAATTAAAATGGCAAGATGAAAACAAGCAGATATCTTATTTCTAGAAAGATAACACTATTGTGATGAAGAGAAATGACAGTGACATTAAGAGGAAAATTATTTTAAGATTTCTTACTTCCATAGTGTGTGTCTTTCCAGATGATGTTTGCCCATAAGCAAATATTGTACCATTGTATCCCTCAAGTACATCTAAAGGGAA